ACACACACACACATATATACACACTGTAGGATAATCACAAGGTCAATTTGAACCATAAGATCAATGGTTCAAGTTCACCAGCTGCTCTTTGGAAACCTTATACAGGATTGCTATGGATTGGAATTGACTCAATGGCACTTCACAAGAACAATATATATATATACACACACACACACACTGTAGGATAATCACTGGACCACAAGGTCAATTTGAACCATGAGATCAATGGTTCAAGTTCACCAGCTGCTCTTTGGAAACCTTACACAGAGTCCTTACTAGTCAGACTTAATGGCACTTAACAGCAACAACACAGCAGTGACATGCAAACAAAGCACTTGCCATGCAGTGGGAAACACTACCTGAGTTGTTCATTCAAACGTTAAGTTTATTTTGAATTTACCTTAACTTTTTACTCCTGAATGATTTATTTTAACACAGTTACTATTTTAGCTGGTGAAATGTCACTACCACTAAGAAAACCAATTCTGACTTAAATTTAGTTACTTAACTTTTAGGAAACACAGAGTCCTGGTGTGGTTGGTGTTTTATCCAAGCACTGGATTGCTAACCTCAAGGTTGGCATTCAAAGCCACCAGAAACTCCTTGAAACCCTATATAGGGCCCCTGGGAGCAGAAACTGACTAGATGGCACTTAACAAAAAGCGGACTAAAGAAACTAATGGACGGTAATACAATATTGAAGGACACTTCCTCTTCCTTCTACAAGCATCCCTTTCCCAACATCTTCCTCCCCCTTCTCCTCTCCTTTCATTCTACAAGCACTGGATGGGATCTAATCCTTGCCTTGAGGGGCTTCGACATTGGAAGAAGAATCTGCTCTGTAAATTTTTGTTGTTAAGTTTCGTTGATGCAGTTCCGACTTATAGCGCCCCATTACGCAAATGAATATTTCTAAAGTGCCTTAAAAGACAAGAGTTGAGTTTCATAACAATCCTGAGTAGTTGCTTATTACTAGATGTTTTCATTTCTATTGGGACAAAAGAGGAAAGTGCTTTTATTGCCATTGCTATTGTTGTTAAGTGCCATTGAGTCGGTTCCGACCCATAGTGACGCTGTGCAGGGTTTCCAAGGAGCAACTGGTGAGCTTGAACCACCGACCTTGCAGTTCAAATGACTTTGTATCCGATGCATTATCCCACTGCACCACACCAGGGCTCCCTTATATGTGCCATCAAATTGGTTCTAATTCCAATGTAGGGTTTCTGAGGAATGGCTGATGGGTTTGAACCACCAACCTTGCGATTAGCAGTCCAGTGCTTATCTTACAGGATCACACCAGGACTCTGTATAAAACCAAATGTATACTCCAACAACTATGCTAAATTCTACACAAGAGATTTGAACAGCAGCCAATACCACAACAAATGGTAGCAAACCAGAAAAGTGCCTTTAATAAATTACATTACCTTTAACAAAAACAAACCAACTAAAGTGTTACTCTAGCGATGTTTTGCCCTTGGAAAAGACTGTATTTGTGCCTCTGCTAACTACTCTAGTTTTCAGTGTCAAAGCACCCAAGTTGCCTGTTTATAAGTAAATACATGCCAACATTGAAATATGAAGATAGGATATGGCCCAAGGTTCCTGAAAATGACAACAATCAACTCTTACCTTATGATAACACCTAAAGTATGCAGCACGCTCATCGGAAAATTTCTCCAGCCTTTTTGGACCTTTGCTTGACGCTTTCTTGAATACTAACCAGCATCGTTGGTAAATCTGCAAGGAAACAGTAAAGCTGAACTTAGTATCTCCAGCTGACTCAGATATTGCTGACATTCGTTTGAAATTTCTTCCTGCTGATATTTTACCTGTAAAATATTCACACACCATAAATGTGATGCTGCTTTCAGCAAAAAGTTAGGGGAAAAAAATTTTTTTTTGAAAAAAGGCCTTTTATTTTCCCCAAAATGGGAGTATTATGCAATTCAATTACGGGAAGCAGGAAGTAAATAAGTATTTGAAGTAAATTAATTTGTCTGTGCTTTAATAACAATATCGCTAGGTATATATATATATATTTTTTGGGGGGGGAGGGAGGGGGGAGTCCCAAGGATTTAAATCCCAAACCAGATGATTTGTTTTGTTATTGCTAAGTGGCATCAAGTTGGTTCCAACTCATAGTCACCCTGAATCGGATTTTCAAGGAGTGGCTGGTGAGTTTGAACCGCTGACCTTGTGATTAAAATGGACCTTGCAGTCCAGTGCTTTATTCCACAGTGTCACACCAGGACTCAAAGCAGATTACAGGAGGAATTAATGGCACAGACTCTAATTTCAAATGCAATTAAGTCTAATAGGCATGATCAGCTAAAGAGTTCCTTGCCAGTCCAACACCCAAGCATCATGTGCTAGTTCTCATAACATATGGTCAAGAGTTCTACCAGACACATGATGAGCTAATATTTGGTGACTCAACATCAACCAGATTCTTGATTAGGAAATTCAATTCAGAGACCTGAAGACTATAGTCATGCAGTCTGAGTTTAAAGCTCAACTCTAGTACACTGAAAACTGAGGGTGGTAACTGCGTAGATTCACTGTTAGGTCCTGTAGTTACACAGTTGTTGCTGTTGTTGTTGTTAGGTGCCATCGAGTTGGTACCGACTCATAGCGACCTTATGCACAGCAGAACAAAACACTGCCTGATCCTGGGCCAACCTCACTACTGTTACCACGCTTGAGCAAATCTGATGCTGCCACTTGGCCAATCCATTTCGCTGGGGGGTCTTCCTCTTTTTCTCTGACCCTCAACCTTACTAACCTCCTCCAGCAACTGGTCCCTCCTGACAATATGTCTGAAGTATGAGAGACGAAGTTGGGCCACCCTGGCCTCCAAGGAGCACTCTGGCTACACTTCTTCCAACACAGATCTGTTGGTTCTTTTGGTAGCCCATGATACTTTCAATATTCTCCTCCAACACCATAACTCAAAAGCATCAATTCTTCTATGGTCTTCCTTATTCACTGCTAGTCATTCTTTTAACCTTTAAGTCACCCACATGGCTCAACATTCAGTCCAACAATGGACAAGCCTAGAAGGTGATCAACAGCTTCAGGGACATATGAATTCCTTAACACAACCAACCATCAAAGGGCAGCATTTGCCCAGGGATAAACAACAAGGAGGGCCAGAAAAAAGGACAAATAGACTCAGGAAACACAGGGAGGAAGGGGGAAGAATTCTGAACTTTGCTGGGATGACGATCAGCATCAAAACACGAAAACATGTAGCTGAACTCACTCCATGACTCTATCTTCAGCCAACAGGGCAGCATGAGTGAGGTACCACACACACCATGGAATGGTCAGCTATCTGAGATCAAAAAGGCAGCTACTGCCTACAGACAAAATTCCCAAGGGTGGGGAGAGAAGGAGGGATGGAAACGAGAAAAACAGGGAGGAAGTGGAGTTCATGATGGTACATTGAGAGGGTTGTAATTGAGATGAAACGAAGTGTATGATTTGCTGAATCTAGAAATGATAATCTGCTTCATAAAAAATGTTTTTGCTTTTTTTTTTCAAGAAAGGGATGAAAATGTGTGTGAACTGCTGAAAGGAAAACGTATTTGTTCTATAAACCTTTTCCCAAAATCACACATATACACACACAAAAAAAAGTGTAAAGAAATTGGAATTACTAATATAAACTCAATTTACAATATAAGTTAAATATATACCGGTGGTGGTTGTGTCCTGTGGAGTCAGTTCCAACTCATAGTGGCCCTGCCTAGGGTTTCGGAGGCTGTAAATCTTTACAGGAACAGAAAGCCTTATTTTTCTCCTGTCGGGTACCTGATAGATTTGAACTGCTGACCTTGCAATTAGCAGCCCAGCTTGTAATCCACAGTTCTACCAGGGAAACATATACTATAAATATATACTATAATATCCATAATACTAAGGAGTCCTGATGTAGGATAAGCACTGGACTGTTGGAAACCCTATACAAAGTCACAATGAGTTGGAACCAAGTTAAAGGCACTTAACAATAATAACAAGGAGATAAAACACAAAGAGCTAACGAACACAGGTTAAAAAAATCTTCAAAAGTTCTCTCCCTTTTGTTTTTCACTTAAAAATCAATAAGGGTTTAAATTAATGGTGCTGTTCACTGACGGGACCTGAGTAACATTCTCAGATTCTGCAGTGGACCTTTGTTAAAGGTCATCTGGCAAGAAAACTAGCAAAGCTCAGACAAGATGAATAAAAACACAGACAACAATGAAAGAGAAATTCTATAGTCAAGTGCAGATGGGTGGTCCTGTTTTGAGTCTTAAGTATCCTTGATTCTGAAATCACCTTTGAAGTAGTCTATGTGGTTTTTTGTATTCAGGACCTTGGAGCTAAAATGAAGGAATAAATAAATTCAACAGAAAAATGTCTGGAGAACCACGTCACACTGAAGATTTAAAGTATTTCTTACATCTCTACTGTTGTTGTTGTTGTTAAGTGCTGTCAAGTTGGTTCCAACCCATAGAGACCCTTTATAGGGTTTCTGAGGAGCAGCTGGTGAACTTGAACTGACGACCTTGCAGTTCAAACAGTTTGGCAGTCTGGCACGTTAACCCACAGCACCACACCAGGACTCCAACTCTACTAGTAGTGAGTGAATGAAGAGCAATTCAGACGTGTTGCTTGTGCCTACAGGGTTTCCTCTGTTCCATTTTCTGCTCTGCCTTTGTAATTTAAACAGATATTAATTACCATGTTTGGGAGGGTGAAAAAAAAATACCAGCGGGACATGCTCTGAGGAATCCTGGTGTGGTGTTGTGGGTTAAAGCGCTGGACTGCAAGGTAGGTTTGAACCATAAGGTCAGTGGTTCAAGCTCACCAGCCACGTTCCTCAGAAACCCTATATAGGGTTGTTTTGGGTCGGAACCATCTGGATGACAGCTAACAACAACAATCTTCTCTGAAGCTTAGATCTGAATCCAGAAGGCAAGATATATGTTTGATTCCACTGAGTATGTAATAAAGTTTTAACAACATTGTTTATAATAATGAAAACAAGAATCCATTCAGTCGTCAACAATAAGGAGAGGCAAAGGTATTTACAGTACTTCTTCAGTATATCGAATACAACAGTTATCACTAATATATGTAGTTGTTGTTGAGTTGATCTCAACTCATATCGACCCTGTCTATGGGTTTCAGAGGTTGTAACTTTGCAGGGGCAAATAGCCTCATCTTTCTCCTGCAGAGCGGCTGGTGAACTTGAACCACTGACCTTGTGATTTGTAGTCCAGTGTTTCTCCTACAGATCCACCTAACTCCCATGATACCTGTTATCCACTAATAGTATGGAGTCCTGGTGTGGTGCTGTAGGATAAAGAACTGGACCACAAGGTTGGTTTGAACTGCAGGGTCAGCAATCCAAACTCACCAGCCATTCCTC